TTCTCCTTGGGCCCACTCTTTTTTGGACTCCGGGTGCTTCTCAGTACTTGTTTCCTCCTTAGCCTCCTTTTTGCCACTCCCTTTATTTCTTCCTTTTCCTTTCCCTTCCTTTTCTTCTGACTCCTTCCTACCGTCCGTAGCCTTTTTTCTAAGCTGCACTCTTTCTTTCTTGCTTGTCTCCCTCAGATGTGGTTCATTGGTTATGTCAACCAAGGTACGGCTACTTTCTTCTTCTTCCCCTCTTTTCTCCAGCTTGTCACCTTCATCTTCCAGAATAGCAAATCTCGATGCATTTCTTACTTCTCTGTAGTGTCTGACCTCTCTTTTCTGACCTTCAGCCGACCTACTCTCCTTGTGCAGGTGCTTACGTCCTCTTCTTGAGTCTTGTGCAACCATCCACTCTCCAAACGGATTTGCCGGAGTGCTAACCGGCGGTGTCTGGTTGATTTCAGCGTCTTTCTTTTCCTGCGCCTGTGCTTGCACCGACTTTCCAGCATCTGGATTCTGTGCAATAATTTTCGACGGGCATCTCTCTGAACTATGTCCAAAGTTACCACATTAGAAGCATATCATATGTAGACCTTCGTATTCTATTTTGAGCCAGTTGCCATCTACAAAGTACGAAGGGAGTAACGGAGCATTCAGATCAATCTCGACACACAGCCGAGCATACATTGTCCTAGCTCTTGTTAAGGTCATCTCATCCACTTTGATAGCTGTCCCTATTTTGTTGCCTAGGTTGTAGAAAAACTTCTTGTCGTAATAGTCACCTGGAAGCCCTGGAAGTCTAACCCATATCGCAAGTTTCTGAATCTTTTTGTTCCAAGGATTAAAGTTTCTCTTCCATGTTTGCACTGTAAGGTAATGGTTTTGAATGAGCCATGGACCACCTTCTAACGCGAAGAAGTAATCATCTCGACTTTGAAAAGTTGCTGTCATAAAACCATTGCCTATATCATTCAATTCGACGTTTCCAGATTTTCCCCACATTACCTTCGCTTTCCTTCTCATTTGCATGAAACCGATTGTCCCTCCAAGCAACTTTATGATCAGTGTGTTATCCCATCTTCGCTCCAGTCTTTTCCTTTCTTTCTCAGAGAAGACGATCTTCGGACCCAAATCAGAGTCCGTGATTGTTACTCCCTCTAGCAGTTCTTCATTACTATTAAACAGTAAACTCCCGTCCCAGTCATCTTCTTGATATTGATTCTTGTGCTTCTCCTCTGCCAGTGACTTAGGCTTTAACGCTTCTCTATACGATAAGACGTGCTCCGGTTGGCTTCTGAGGTCCAAACCCTGGTCCATCATCCAGTCTTCTTCTCTTGCTACTAAAGAAACTTCTCTAGTGTATTGACCTCTCACTCTTTGTAACTTCCCTCTTTCTTCTTTTCCATCACTCAGCTCTGTCGACATTTTCTTCAGCTCCGGGAAAGATGAGGGAACCATTGTTCCCGCACTATCTAAAGTACTCGGAATATTACTAGGGATGTCCGTCATTTCCACCATCTCGCCCTGTGGACAATCCGGCGGAAGTTTGCGGGGACCTCTCTCATCTGCCATAATGCGCTCACTCACACCCAGACTCTCTCTCTCTATTTTCTCTCTCTAAACTATGTTTCTGTCTTCTTTTTTTTGGACATTGTACTAGTTTACATGTGAGGGTGTAGAGCATCCAACGTCCTCCAGCTGTACCACATAATGCTTTACCATTGGGAAAATTTTTTAGCACGGCAAAAGTGACTTTACTAAAGACCACGCGATTTTTGAAATTATACGGTAATACCAAAGCATCAAAATAAAAAAAAATGTTTTGATGGTAAATTATCAAAATATTATTTATTTATTCATTTATTATTATATATGCATTTTAACATGTAGCGATAAAAAATATATAAGTGTATATATAAAAATTTATAACTTCCAATTTATATTACAACTACTAGTCCAAAAATTTATGAATTTTTATAAGTAGATTTACATATATATATAAATATTTTAGCAACTAATAATAACAAAATTGATTAGTGTACATATAAAAATTTCAAGAGTCAATGCAAAAATTTACAATTATGCATCGGTGAATTTATAAGTATATAGAAATATTTCAACAACTAATAATAATAAAATAACAAATGTGGATGGAATGATATTTTGGTCATTTACTATTAAAAATATAATTTTACCTCAATTCTTGTTTACTGCATACTACAATGTAATTATGAAATTTTTGGGGTGAACAGAAATTAAGTTATTTATTTATCAGTTCCTTTAATGAAATTCGCCCTTTATTAGAATGATTTATGAGAAAAGACAGATTGCTCTTTGATTGACCCGTGCTCTGTTGGCGTATTCGTTTTTTTCTTTAGTAGAAAAGGAATTCATTAAGCGATAAAGATATGTACAAGACAGTTACAACAATGAAAACGTAAAGACTGAAAAGGCTAGAACATCTAGGCAAGAAAGTTAGCTCAAATGGCTACAGAAGTCCTTAGCCCTAATAATGTGATCAGTGAAGGAGATAGCTTTGTTGACTAGCCGGTAACAAAAGGTCGTCTCATTGTTGAAAATGAAAGTATTGCGTGCATGCCAGAGCTTCCAGCACAGGATCCCAAACAGTACACACCATCAGGGGTTGGCGTTCCTACAGCTGAGATTTTCCTGGAACCAATCTAATAAATAGATTAAGTTGAAGCGCGTCAAGTGTGAGGAAGGTGTGATGAGCTTCCAACACTCAGTTGCTAACTTACAGCGCCGTAAGACATGATCCACGTCTTCCATGTTCGAGCTGTATATCCCACAAAAGGCATTACTCGTCATGTGTCTTCTTGTTCGCTCGCTGTTTGTTAAGAGCCTTCCTCCTATAGCTAGCCAGAGGAAAGTCTTGACTCAATTCAATCTAGGCCAACACCACGCTAACATCCACTTACTGTTTTCCTCGTTCAAGTCATTTTGAATGGGTAAGTTGTATGCTGATTTAACAGAGACTTCACCATTTCTCTCCAGTTGCCAATGGCACCTTGCTTGCGGATCCGTGCTTAAAGGTATTGGTGTGGCAATGATCTGGTCTACAGTTTCTTGGGGGAGCTTGCTTATGAATTTGTTCCGGTCCCATTGGCCATCTGAGGTTATAAATTGGGCAATTGGCCTCTATAATTCGTGTTCTTCTAAAGGCTCGAAGGAGAGGTGCTTTAGTGGGCCATGATTACCTACCCAATTATCTGTCCAGAATCGTATTTGGCATCCATTCCCAATAGTCCATCTGATGCCTAAGGCAGCGTTCTCCCAAACCAGAGACAAGCTCCTCCATAGATGGGAGGCTGTTTTGACTTTGAACAGTTGATCTGACTTTGGTTGCCAATCATATTTTGCATGGAGCACTTTAACCCATAATAAATCTGGTTTTTTCATTATTGCTACTGCTATCTTGATTAGGAAGGCCGAGTTGTGATGACTTAGGTCTTTTATATTACATCCTCCATTTTCTTTTGGCTGGCAAGCATCTTTCCATCAAACTAAGGAGATTCCTTTGTGATTGTTGTCAGATCCCCATATAAAATTCCTAATAATGCTTTGCAACTGTTGATGCTGGGATTCTGGTAGTTTGCATAGCATATAGCGGCACCGTGGAAAGAACTGATTGAGCCAGGGTGATTCGACCAACTAGTGACAGAGAGCAGGCCTTCCATCCAGAAAGCTTCCATTGCATTTTCTCCTTAATGTACTCGTAGGTGTCTTTTGTTACACGCTCATGCAATAGGGGTACACCTAGATAGTGCCTAAGGTGTGTCATTTTCTGGTAGCCAAGCTACTCACAAATGGTGTTTGCTTCCTGGGCATTCATGTTTTTAGAGAAGAAGATTTGCGTTTTAGATGTGCTTACTTTATGCCTCGACGTCTCACATAATTCATTTAGCAATCTCCTTATTAGGTCGACCTGCGACTTCTCCGTAGAAATGAAGAGAATCAGGTCGTCCGCGAAGAACAGGTGAGACAGCAGAGGTCCCTTCTTTCCCATGCGAATGGGGTGCCATGCACGATTCTCCACTTCTTTGGTTATTACCTGCGAAAGCCTTTCCATACACAATACAAAGATGTATGGGGACAGAGAGTCCCCTTGTCTAATCCCACGTTGTGGGTAGAATGCTTCACTCGGTTTGCCATTCCAAATCACCTGCATGCTTGCTGAGGTTATGCATCTCATAATGAGAGAGATGAAAGGACCTGGCAGTTCTGCCTCTCTCAAAGTGTCTTCAATGAAATCCCATCGAAGTCTATCGAAAGCCTTTTCAAGATCCACCTTAATTGCCATCCAACCTACTTTCACTGTCTTGCGCCTCATTGAGTGAATTGCTTCTTGGGCTATTATGATATTGTCTCTTATATTTCTTCCTTTAATGAAGTTGGCCTACGGTGGTAATGCCAGTATGGGTATCAGATTCATGAGGCGGTTTGCTGCCACTTTGGTGACTAGTTTATAGACTGTAGTGCACAAACTAATCGATCTGAACTCTTTTAGAGTTTGTGGGTGATCCACTTTAGGGATAAGGGCAATTAAAGTCCTATTTAACCAGGTAGCAATATCTTTCCCTTCAAAAATACTCTTAACCTCATTGTACAAAGAGTCACCGATAATTCCCCATTGAGATTGAAAAACAAGGCATGGAGCCCGTCAGCTTGTAACATCCCTTTTTTTTTAATTATTATTCCTAGTGTTTAGTTAAGTTTAGAAGGAGTTTAATGCTTGATAAATGAGTTTTATTCTCTATTTATTTAAGAGAAGAGAATTATTGAAAATAAGATTTATAAAATATGTATATGGAAATTACTGAATAATAATAATAAAACAGATTAAAAAAAAGAAAAAGGAAAGAAAAGGGGTACCAAACTATAATTTTGTCCCATTTTAATATGGGGTCTTTAACTGGAATTTATGCCAAAATATTATTTTAACCGTTGGGGGGCCAGAGAGAGAAACATTTCGACGTCTTTCTTTTTCACCTTCTCCGGCGCCTTCTCTCATTTTTCCAGTAGGGTTTCAACTTTGCAGATCATTTTGGTAAGCCAAATGACTTCTTTTCATTAAACTCTCTTCATGAAAGTTTTTCCACTCATCTAAATCTATCTAATGATGGTAGTTTTATACTGTTTAGAGATAATTTTTGGGTTTAGGGTTTGAAGCAAGTGTTGAGTTTTGATGATAGGTAAGTATAATATTGTAAAGCTATTTTAGTAGATCATTTCTATCAGTTTAGTTTTATTTATTGACTGACCTAATATTTTTAAATGAATTATTTTAGTTAAACAGATATTTATTTATGAAAAATATGATATTTATACCATGAAACTGTTGATTAAATTATTTACTTAGATGCATTTGATGTATATTGAATTTGTAATGGTTGGTTTTTGAGATTTAAAGTTAAAACAGGATTTTTGAATTTTAAATATGATAATTTCAGATTTAAAAATTTGAGAAAAATCTGTATTAAAGTAAATACTTTGAAAGGTTTAAATGAAAATTTTGGATTGTGAGGATATATAAATTTTGTGCTAAAAGACTTAATTATGGGTTATGAAAGGTTTGGGTTTAGCATAGAATTAGAAATTTTAACTTATATATATATGTTTTAGTTTAAGTAATTAATTAAATAGCTTGTGTATTGATATGTAAATGTATTGGTTATGTAGATTAAATTATTGGGCTATTGGTATGAGCACGGGGTTAACCTTGTGGTAATACTTGTTCTAGACAAGAGGTAACCACTTTCCACTTATTATTCATGCTTGTAGGTTGTTTGTGATTGATTTTGAATTATAAGGAATTTATGAAATATTATTGAATTACGATGTGAGCTATGAAAGTATGTTGTTATTGAAATTGTCTTGTGAGACTTTTGTTGCAAAAGATATATGTTTACTATTATGATGATCTCAGGTATTATGAGTTAATTGAAAAATGGAAAATCCCAATTGATTTTTACATGTTGATGATTGTTTATGAATGCAATATTTTGAGTGTTGATATATGAGGGGTGGCGGATGTTGATGATGGGTACTATAACAAAGAGGATATAAGGGGGTGAATTATGTACATTTGAGGATATAAGGTGGTAGGGCTATCAGGTGTACACTGATTGGTCCTTTAGCCCAATTATTCATTATAGGGCATTGACACCCTACTAGTAGACTAGAGGGGGAACCCATGGTCCGGTCTTGTGCTCTGTGGATTTTGGCCGGTCCATATCACTTGATCGGTGAGCTTGTCTAATTACCAGTCACATGGATGAGGATTTAGCCCATGGGTTTAGTCAGAGGATATAAGGTGGGTGGATATAAGGGAGGTGAAAAGAATATTGATTGTACTTTTTATATGCTTTGACAATATGGAATTTGTTGGAATACTATGAATTTGCAATTGTCTCACTTGACACGTCACGAGCACTTACTTGTATGCTTGATAAGTAGGATTGTTGGTTACTGAGACTTTTGTCTCACCCCGTTGATTTAACACTTTTCCAGGTGATAGTTCCCGTTCGGGTCAGTTAGGGAAGGCTCCGGAAGCTTGAGCTGCTATTGCAAAATTGTAGCGCTTCCACTCTTTTGATTGTGTTGGATAGATGTATATTGCCATGATAGGGCCCATTCCACATACTCTGATATGTTTGAGATTGATTATTTTGACAGTGTACTTTTGAGAACTGTTACTGGACTGTATCCTGGTAGAAGGCCGGAGGCCTTTAGGCATTTGCATGTGATTTCTTTTGTTGATATGAGTGGTGAATCCACAGTGATCTTTGACATGAAATGACTTTTGATTTTGTTGAAAGTTATGAAAGGTACTATTTAATAAAATCGTGTTATGGGCTTATGGTTGAAAATGATATTCTAGATTTATAATACCCAAAGCCCTATCCATTATGAATATCTTTTTGCACGCAGTTAATTTAGGAAAGTTCTTTTAACCATGATAGACATATTTATGGATTGGTTTAACTCTTTTTCTATCATGGTTAATCTCATATGATTTAGGATGTTTATATAACCATGATAGTATTTCTAAATATTTTTACAAAGTTTCTTTTCTATCATGATTAACTTTTTGATATTGATTACTTTATAAGTGTAGTAGTTTCGTTGTTACACAGCTCCTGGTGCTTTCAAAGGGCTCATTTCAAACAGAGCTTTCCTAACTTCTTCTCTAGTAACAGCACAAGCAATTGAGTTAAGCAACACATCAGAAGTTTGGGGGAACAGGTTTGTGTACCTGTAGTTTGGGCGCTGGGCGTGGCTGGTCTTTAACGAGAAGAGACACTGAAAGAAGTGAGTCGCCATTGCTCTGAGCTTTGTTTGGTCAGATTCCCATTGATCATTGTCATCTTTTAGAAGTGAGATTTGATTTCTTCACCGTCTGATGAGGGCCTTGGTATGGTAGAATTTGGTGTTTCGGTCACCATCAGTGATCCATTGGCTCTGACTTTTTTGCAGCCAGAGTATTTCTTCCCTCAAGCATAGATCTTCATATTCTGCAAGGAGCAATTGTTCTAACTCATGATAGAATTGCAAGAAAGGGCAATGTTCTAGTATTCTTTGTACGCCCGTGATTTTGTTCCTTAGCTTCCTTTTGTTGCGACCGATGTGACCAAAGACGGTGGAATTCCAATTCTGTGCTGCCATTGTGAAAACTTTGATGTTCTTGGTAAGACTCTTTTTTAGGCTCCAAGCACCTTTGACTAACTCACTAAACTCAGGGTGAAGCAGCCAGGATGCAACAAATTGGAAAGGCTTTGTGTCACTTGCATTTGGCTTCACATGCGTGATTAAAAGCGGTCGATGGTCACTTGCAGTCTTGGAAGGTGCATTACTGTCATGTTGGGCTGTGCGGAGATCCACTGCTTATTGCTCAAAGCCTTGTCTAGCCGCACCATCAAACCTCCTCTCTGCCAAGTGAACCGTGGCCCAGAGTAGCCCAAATCAACTAGCCCAGCTTCTTGAACAAACTTTCAGAACTTCCAGCAACCTGCATAATACCTTCGGCTACCACCCTTCCTATCTCCCACTTCTAGTGTAGCGTTGAAATCGCCCGCAGCAAGCCATGGTTCGTTGTCACCTACCTGAAGGCTTAAAAGGTCCTGCCAAAGGTATTCCCTCTGTGAAGCATTGGGGCTACCCTAAATTGCTGTGAAAGTAATGGATGTCATCTCGCTGGTCTTACGTATAGAGGTATGAATGAATTGTTTGTGGTTAGCAACAATCTGTACTGACAGATGATCACGCCAGAGTAGCCAAATTCCCCCAGAGTATCCTACATCTTTAACTCTGTGGGAATTTTGATATCCAATTTTTTGTATGACTCGGTCAGCCTTTGCACCAGATATCCTCAGTTCCACCAATACCACTACATCTGGTTTGTATCCTTGCAATAAGGATTTCAGGACCCTATAAAACTTGCTAGATGCTACCCCTTGGTAGTCCCAAACAAAATAGGAGCTATTTATTGGCAACAAGTAGGCTTAGTGCTCCATTTCAGAATTCTCTGGAGCAGAGGCGTCCTCAAAGTTATTTTCTACAGCTTCCTTGTAGCTAGCATCTTCATCAGATGGAATGGAGGAGCCCAAGGCTTCAGCCAAGGCTCTAGTTAACTCCTCCGAAGGCGTCCCAATAGCATCCTTGTACTTGGGCCTCCAATCTTTTATTTTGACTGGTGACTGTATTCTAAATCCGCTCCTTCCTGCAATGTTATCTGGCGGTTTGGGCTTTAAATTTTCCTTGCCTATTCTGGCATACGAATTGGGCTCCGCTTGCCACGGCCCAGAATGGTGGTTCAGCATTTTGTTACTTGCACTGGTGGGCATTTTTGCATCAGTAAGCGTGACGATTGTGTGGTTCCCTGTAGGTAGCGTTGTTGGGATTCGAGACTCTAGGTAGGCAGAGGCGTCAAATATTGTCTCAGCTGGTGGTTTTGCAGATTTTGCGCCTTTGGAGGTACTTCCTCTAGTTAGTTTCTTGCTTTTGGGGGCTGCGCGTTTCATTTGACCTTGCAAACTGTCCTTTTCTCGGGTTGCCGACGGCATGACAGTCTCATTGCTAAGGTCTACTGTCATCCCTGCCTTTCCTTCCCGGTGTAAGTCTGCATCCTCCGCGGTAGCTAAAGCCTCAAACCTATTGCCGTCACTTACACTTCTTTGGTGGTTCTTGTCAGTCTCCTTCCGTCCTCCTCGACTAGATCGCCAGGGCTACGTTGGAGCTTTCATCCAAGAGCCAAAAATTTGGCTCTCACGTGTTTTGCTATCACACGCCCTGTTCTCTGGGTTCAGCGTGGTCATTGCTAAGGTCTGCTGTCATCCCTACCTTTCCTTCCTGGTGTAAGTCTGCGTCCTCCGCGATAGCTAAAGCCTCAAACCTATTGCCGTCACTTACACTTCTTTGGCGGTTCTTGTCAGTCTCTTTCCGTCCTCCTTGACTAGATTGCCAGGGCCGTGTTGGAGCTTTCATCCAAGAGCCAAAAATTTGGCTCTCACGCGTTTTGCTATCACGCGCCCCGTTCTCTGGGTTCAATGTCGTCATTGCAGGTTGCTGTGAGTCGTTCATCGGTGGTCTTTGGTTCATCGTCGGCGGCTGCTGTTGTTGCATTTTTTGAGGGCACGAGGCTTCAAGATGACCATAGCGTCCACAGTGGTAGCAAATGGTTGGGAGTCCTTCGTATTCAACATATTGGGTTACGCCGTCCAGCTTTATCATGGAGACAAGGGGCCTAGTTAAATCAAGTTTGACCGCTAGTCTAGCATAGCGAGCTTTGTCAACTTCCTCCGAGTTGTAGTCGATCTTCAGCACCTGACCGATTACTTCGCCTATAGCTCTTAGGACGTTCTTATGGCAGTAATGGTAAGGTAAGCCGGGGAGCCGAACCCACCCATACACTTGTTTTATTTCCAGGTTGAGCGGACTCAACGTAGGCTCCCATGGATGCACTGTTAGGTAATGTCCTTGCACCACCCATGGTCCTCCGAGCAATGCATTCTGGTAGTAAAATTTGTTCTCAAGCATTACCATAAAGCAGCCTCCTTCTAATTCTGTTAACTTGAAGTCTCCAGTGGGTCTCCACAAGCTTGTGATTTTTGAGAATAGAATGTCTGGTCGTAAATAAGGTCTGAGTATTTTGACCACGACTGCGTGCTCCATACAACCCTCCATGACTTCTCTAACACGGTTCGAAAAGTTTATGACCGGAATGAGGCCATCCATGTTGATGACCACGTCCCCCTGTTCCAAGTTGAGTTCTTTTCGCCAGTGCTTGTTTAAGTTCCCATCACTCTTCGTTCCTCCCATGTGCTTCTCTTTAAATGATGGGGGCCTTTGTTCACTTCTAGCGTCCTTCATGTTTTCCTGGCTCTCAGGTGGCTTGCTTTATGGGACTCGTCCAACTGGGGAATTCTCGTCCGCTGCTCACCTGCGTCATCTTCCATGGTGCTGGTAGTCTCATCTTGGAAGAGTTGTTTCTGTATTGAGGCCCATTCAGTGTTTTCCTCAGCGATAACTGTGACCTCTTCTGTGTCCATATCGGCAGCAAGCTCCTCTTTATCTCGTATCTTTACCTTCTTGGTGGTTCTGTTTTCCTCAGCAAGTGGCGTTCGCGCCGCCTTCTCAGCAAGTTCCATGTCGACGCTGCACTCCATGTTGAAAGCTGAAGAGGTACCTAGCAAACACTCTTCCTCCGCCGCAGTGGGCGGCGGAGGCACTCTACGACAACTTACCGCAGGGGGTGATAGTCGCTTGGCACAGTTTTCAGAACGGAGAAAAACTTCTTCAATATGTTTTTCGATTTTAACATTATTTGACCCAGCGTATTCGTTTTTCCATGTAATACTATCACTATCTCTTTTTAACCATGGGTTAGTAAATAAATTGGCTGTTGAATTTATAGCCTTCTATAAACTAATTAATAAATCAATACTACGAAATTAAGGAAAAGAATTAAAAGAAATACTCCTCCAATTCTTAACACAATATTTAATTATTGAGTTGATTCTGATCCTAAATATAAAACCTAATTCTCATATATATATGTTTTTTTAAATTATCCCTATTAAAAATTTTTTAACCATAATCATGTAAGAGATGGGAGGAAAATATTAAAGAATATGGTTATGATGTTTTAGAAAAAATGTTATATTTCTTATAATTACTAATTTATATAACTGTTTAATCTAACTAAATTAGTTAAATATTTTTTTATATTAAGAATTGTAGAAGTAGCATTTAGTGAAAATCAATATATAAATATATGAATGTACAAGTACTAAATTTTTCCCCCGTCTCTTTTATTTGTTTTGTAACACATTCTTCCGTACACTTAGATTGAGCAAATTTATTAATTATGGCTGAAGGCTTACGCAAAAAAAGGTGGAATTTTTAAAACTTTTCATCAAACTTTGAATCATGACTTATTATTTTATTTTATTTTTTAAGATTTATGCTATAAAAATAAGACTTAGATTCATTCTTCATGTACCTGATAGCAACTTCTATTTATCATAGCTGTACAAATGTTACTTTTGAAAAGTCTACTTTTCTATTCTAGCTCTAATAAATCATGCTTTTGTAAATTCTGATTCATTCGTGCCATAGATATGTTACCAATATATACATACTAACTCCTCAGCCATGCTAACTATCCCTAATCACTCCTCCTTATGGATGTACATACAGCCCTATAAGTGAAATTTACATAACTTCTTAAAAAGAAAACTATAAACATCACATATCATAAAAGAAAAGGGGAAACATAACACAAAATGTATTTAAGATTAATTAATTAACGAAGCACTAAGTTCTTCTCTCCTTCCACCTTAGCTATGCTCCTACTAGCTCCTCTTTCCCCTTTGATGAACTAGGCCCTAGGGTTAAATAGAAAGGAGGGGTGAGATTTAAAGAATTCCAATACTAGTAATCATATTTCATATATTATGCATGCTATAAAACTGAGCATGTAAAGCAAGCAATGAAAAACAATACCTTACAAAATAACTGAATTGAACTAAATAACAAACTAAGGTATATTTACTGTCATTTAACTAAATCTCATATAACTGTAGGGCTAGCCCTGCAAGGTCAGCCGACCCGTATTCCCAGTACTATGTATGCACATGGCCATAATAACTGGTAAGGCAATTTACATGTTCTCATGCTTAACTATAGTATTATGGCATGAGTAGACATACAACCAAACAAAACATAAAAAATAATGATTAAAGCCACCTTCCGCTTACTCTCCTATTCTGGTACCTTACTTTGCATTTCTCCTTTGTAAGCTAGGATGCCAATTAAATCCTAACATTACAAGTACATATATAAGGTATGTTAAAAATAAGATTATGATTAACCCATAACTATCTAATTCTATCTAAAGCCCCCTGCTCAAGCACACTTCACTCTCTTAATTCGATTGGTCAACCCATACGAAAATTCTTATATTTAATCTCTGTGTTTCCAAGGGTCTCTGAAACCTCTACTTTTCTTATGTTTCGTTGATAAAAAATAAAACAAGAAACAAAAGTCATAAATTTAATTCTTACAAACATAACAGAACTTGCATCTGTTTCCCACATATCACAGCAGCATATACATATACGTCAAATATTTGAGATCTTAATTCAACATCAAGAACCATCCAAATTGATTATTCAATAGTTGGGAGCATCAATAACTATTTTAATATCACTTTTTTCACGTTTCAATAACATGTTCAAATAACTTTCACAAAAGCTGAACCATTTAATAATAATAATAATAATAACAACCAGTAACTTTGATTTTAGAATCTTAATCATCATTTTGGATTAGAGATTGATTTTGTTAAAATAGAGCTTAAAAGGGAATTTTTCTCATATTCTTATCTCTGCTCTTAAATATTTGATTTTGACGCTTCATGACATTATCTTGTCCCGATTTATTTTGCAGGTTTTTTTTTTAAAATATAGATTTTATATTATTTATTTATTTATTATTTTTAGTACATATATATATATGCATTTTAACATGTAGCAATAACAAAAATATAAGTGTATATATAAAAATTTATAACTCCCATTTTATATTATAACTCCTAGTCCAAAAATTTATGAACGTTTATAAGTAAATTTACACACATATATAAGCATTTTAGCAAATAATAATAACAAAATTTATTAGTGTACATATAAAAATTTTCAAGAGTTGAAACACAAATTTACAATTATTCATAGATGAATTTACAAATATATATAAATATTAATACTAAAATAACAAATGTGGATGGAAAGATATTTTGGTCGTTTACTATTAAAAATATAATTTTACTTCAGTTTTTTGTTACTACTTGCTGTAATTACGAAGTTTTTGGGGTGAACAGAAATTAAGTCATTTATCAGTTCCTTTAACGAAATTCCCCCTTTATTAGAACGGTTGATGAGAAAGGACAAATTGTTGTCTGATTGACTCATTGGCTCCGCTGGCGTATTCGTCTTTTCACGTAAAAGTGCACCCATCATTATAATTTTTTTGGGGGTGTGAAAGTATTTATAAACTTGTAAAATCAGAGCAAAAATGATATTGGGGTTAAACTTGACAAACAGTCGTTACTTTTGGTAGTAAGGCCCACGCTAATGTTATGAAGGTACCAAAATGCCCTTAATTCAGAAAAAAAAGAACCTATAAACTTTTTGTAAAAGTACTAATGACCATGCAAATAAATTAATTCTTTTAGTTTTAGAAAAAAAAAACTATTAAATTTTATTATGCTATTGTAATACTAATAATTTTATGGTTAATATAAATCTTTCGCCTTCTGAATTTACATCAAGTTTTAATTTATGAGTCAAGGTGTAAAAATACCTATCAACTTATACTAAAAGTGCACCCATCCTCAAATTTATAAAGTGTATTTTTAATTCCTTTAATTTAACACCGTTAGTTTCATTAACAGTAAAGGTTGGTCTAGCAAATTTAAATGGTAACTTTGTAATTAAATATTGAAATATTAATCTTTAGTTTAAAATTTGTAAGTTGAAAAATATTTAAAATAAAACCTAATAAAGATGTAGTCTGATTTTTAACATCAACAATCATCTTTCAATATATAAAAACATTAATGGACTAAAAATAAAATTTATAATTTTAAGAGGTTAAAATAAAACTTGATGCGAATTTAGAGGTCCAAAAGTATAGTATAATACTTTTTTTAAAAAATAAAAAAATCAACTTATTTAGACGTTCATGGGTACTTTCAACAAAGCCACCGTTTAAATTTATTAAGTTAATATTTTCTATTAATGAGACTAATAGTGTTAACATTTAGTAACTGAAAATGTACTTTATATATTTAAGAAACTAAGTTAAAACTTGGTAAACTTAGATGACTAACCGTGTAAGTTAACAATAAAATTATTAGTATTATAATAGCATGATAAAATTTAATAGAGTTTTTTTTTTGGGTAAAACTGAAAGAATTAATTTTTTTTAACTATCATTGGTACTTTTGCACTTGTGAAAACAAACATATGGTATTTAGTGTACTTGAACTAAAAGTTTATAGATATTTTTGCATCTCGTCCTTTTTTTGTTTCTTTTATTTAGGGGGATTTCGGTACTCTAATAACATTAGCGTGGGCCCTACTATAAAAACTAACAATTGTTAGTTAAATTTAATGGCGATGTCATTTTTGCTTTAATTTTATAAGTTTATGGGTACTTTTGCACTTCAAAAAAGATTATGATGGAAGTTGTACTTTTGGTATAAGTTTATGGGTATTTTTATACTTTGACCCATAAATAAATTGGTAGTTGAATTTATAGCCTTCTCTAAAGTAATTAATAAATTAACACTACAAAATTAAAAAAACTAAAAAAAAATTACTCTTTTAGTCCTTAATATATGCCCTAATTATTAAATTAATTTTGAATTTAAAAATAAGACTTAACTCTCATAGATATCAATTTTTTCTAAATTATATATATTGATATTCCCTCAACCATAATAAATAGGAGAGAGAGGAAGGATATTAAGAAGATTATTATAATGTTTTAGAAAAAAATATATTATACTTCTTATAATAGACTAACTTACCTAATTATTCTAATTTAATCAAATTAGTTAAATAGATCTTATATTAAATGTCAAAGAAATAACATTTAATGAAAATGATACTAAAACAATAATTATCTAGAAAGATATAAAATCAATATATAAATATATAATTCGAGTAAGGTGTTCATGGCACGGGATGTCCCGATTTCTCTCTATTTTAGAAAAATTATTTTAATTTTGGGCATATATTTTTTATGTTATAATGTTTATTTTTTATTGGGCTTCTAAAAAGATAAAAACAATATTATATAAAAAA